TTTAATGTTATCAAGAGGTACATGAATGCAAGTAAATAACTCGAGAAAATGATTTTAATTTAAAATTCAAAACAATGGGCCACACGTATACAACGATAACCTCGACACACATGTGGGCCCGACGCTGCTCCGATGCTCCTATAGCCGTTGCTCAACAAGTTACCGTTGTTACTAGCAGCTCATGTTTGCCACGTGTCTTTAAGTGGTTGCACCACGAAACTATTCCACTCTCTTTTGAAATGGGCCCAAATGGGAGAGTTATGGCCCACTGTGTGATAGTCTCAATGTTATACCAATCTGGTTTAAATTGGTTCCCCAGATTATAGACCCCAACAATTAAAACCAGAATCATCAACTCTAATTTAAAAAATAAAACAAAATTTTAGCCTATTTAAAATTTAGCTTTTTTAATACTTTTATTCAATTACTATTCCATTAAAATATGAACGTGAAACATAATAACAACAAAAGAAAGAAAAAAATGCAAATCATTTTCAGCTTTGAAACCAGGTATAACCGGACCGGTTTACCGATAGATACAGAAGAAGGATTAAAAAAAACCTCAAAAGAATAAATCGGAGAAACTCTGGTTTGTTCATATAAAGGTTTCCTCTAGTCTTCTACTTCCGAGTCGAGCACGAAGCTTGGAAATGTTAAAGTCACTTCCCTACAAATCATAAAAACACGACGTTGTTAATTAATCACTAGCATGTCAATAATCAATAAGAATTTTGTTTAGTAATACAAATTGTATACTTGAGATAAGGGAGAGTCATGTTCTTGAGGATTGAAGGAGTCTTAGCCACGAGCTCTTTCCACTCTTCTTCATCGATTTTCCCATCTTTGTTTGTATCAACCTCGAGCATTGTCTGTTGATAATAACAAAAAAAAAAAGAGAAAAGTTGGTTAATTATCTAACGTAAGATATAAAAATACGAATCTTAATGTTACAAGAAATTTAACCAAGATAGATTAATTAAAATTAGGCCATGCATGACCTGTTCCACGATGGCTTCAATGGATTCTTCGGAGAGTTCTAAGTCTGTTTCACCAAGTAGTGCACAAACCATCTTCTTCAACTAATTTACGTCAAAACATTACACATAATAATTAATGTTTGTGTATGCCTCTACAAAAGACACATATAAATATGTGGTCTTCAATAGTAGTATAAATCTATGCAATGATTAAAAACAAAAATTGCGCTAAGTAGCCATTTATATCAACCACTTTGTAATTCGATTTATACCTCATGGGGCTCGATGAAGCCGGTACCATGGATGTCATAAAGCTTGAACAAAACTAAGATAGCTCACGTACATTATAAACGGTTTAGTTATATTGGTCACTAAATACGTGAATATTTTCGTTAGCTAATGTATATAGAGATATACGTACATGAGGACTTTTCATGTTCGGGAGTGTACGGATGGAAGATGCTAAGTGAACGAACAAATTCACCAAACTCAATCACACCGTTGCGTTTCCTATCAAACATATAAAATACCTGCAAAAACTATATACATTAAATACTATATTCCTTCCATAACCATTTTTGGTATAATAAATTAAATATATACATATATTTGATGCAATAATGTTTATGAGTATACGTACCCTGTCCGCGAATAGATTTTGCATACTGCTGTTTCTGAACAAAGCCAGAAGAAACTCTTCCTGCTCATAGATATATAGATGCATATTAAGTTTCTTAAAACAATAATATTGTCAATTAAACATTGATGAGATTATGAGCGAAAGGTTTAGAACTCCCAAAGTTATAGAAAAAAAAAACAAAAAACATTGATGCGATTTGAATGTTACATGTTTTCCTGGAAAAGTTATAATTATTTTTTTAATGAATGAAAGCAAATGTTTTTGTTTGTTTATAAAGAATGAAAACAAATGTTACCTTATGGATAAGACCATCATCAGTAATAGATGTACTTAGCTTCTTGAACAAATTGTATAAAGCCTCTATCTCATTCACCGTAACTGCATTTATCAATTACCCTATCGATATAGCTTCGCACGATGCATATATATATAATTTTATCACAGCTCATTTAGAATATTTTGTGATATTAAAATTTATTTATTCAATTAAGAAAATTTTGTGTTATTGTTTGTTTGACTTACAGGGAGTTTCGGATGCAAGAACATGAGGGTCCTCATATCCAGGAGGATGCTTTGTTCGCTTCAACGCGAAACATTTCACGAATGCCAACATTTTTTTACGAATTTTTTACCTTCAAAATTTGATTTGATTTTATGAATTATTTTTGATATATAAGTAACTCAAGCATACGGTAAATTAAAATAGTAATTAATTGTGCTGCTAAAATAATTCAGAAAAAAATTCTCAGGGTCCTAATTTTAATTTTCTATCATATGAATAAATCGGATTATGTATCATGATAAATGGAAAATGGATTAGTAAGAATTATAATAGAAACTAATGGATCTAGCTTTCAGCTTTATGATCTGACCATTTTATGATTACAAGTTAAAATCATGGATCAAGAACATTAAAAATACTTGAAACTAAAAATAGTCTTACTAAAAATAGTCAAACCAACTAAACTCTTGAGGTTTCCACAAAAAAAACAATTTACTTTTGATATGATCACGTAGGACCCCAAGATCCATACG